ATTTGACTTAAAAATTTCCTTAAAATATGGGCTACAAACCGAAAGAACCATTTTATGCGCTTTTATGCATTTTCCTTGTGCTGAAAGCGTTACGTCTACAAAATCTTGACTTTTCCATAATGAATTTATTCCTGAACTTATATTTTCGTGGAAATTGTTCCAACGCAATGAAAATTTTTCTGACGCCATGGTCAATTGTCATTAAAAGTTCTTCTAAATTATATCCTTCCTTATAAATGTAACAATAATTCTAAATATCCTAATTTAAATAGTTAAATAAAGTCATATTAAATTTCTTCGTGTATATTACTTATAGAATTTGTCATCCAAGCAAATTTATATCGTATCGTATATCGTTATATCTAATATTTCCGATCTGTCGGTGTATTTTCATGGTCAGATATAAATATTCTTAAAAATATACCTTAAGCAAATAAAAATGTATGACACATTTGTTTCGTTAAAACAATATAATTTGCTATATAAAGTTATTTAATGAAAACTTAAAAATAAATTATATACTCTACTTTCAAAGCAATAAAAATTGTATATTCAACATTCTGAACTAGTTAAATTCTTTATATTTCTAATAACTTTCTTAAGTAATAATTATTAATTTCAATTTGTTAGACTGTATTTATATATAAGGGATAAAAAAAATAAATTTACTTACATAATACATTTAATGTATGGTCCTTATCACTTCACCTTTATCCATATTCCATTTATCCATTTTCCATTTACTGTCCATTGTCCTTAGCTGGAATGCTGTCGCGGGGCTCTCGGCTGGTGTGGTCCGGAATTTCCTTATCTGTTGATGCATTTTCCCATTTCGAAATGCATTGGTTCCATATAACATCTAGTATGCTATTTTCCATCTAAACTTCCAGTGGGATTTTCTTCTCAACATCTCTGGATGAAGATTCCTGGTTTCTACCACTTCAGGATCGCCATGTAATAAAATAATGTTGTAGGGTGGTAAATAACTTGTTGTTGTACTTAGTTAACCATTTATTTATCACTACTGTACACTCTTTAATGTTACTTAATCTAAATATTTTCAGTACTTAATTGACGCTGACTATATGCGGCATTAACTTGCCATTTTGACGGTACATTAATTAAGATCCCTGAGAGAATGATTGTTGGGGCTTTTATAGAAGTCCTTGCTATATCAGCAAAGGTTTACTTATTAGTATGTCAAGTGTGTTCATGACCTACGCCAAGCATGTGGTGATCGGCAATAGCGCTGATTTAACAATTCTAATTAGAGTATGTTATTTATGAATGTCCTTGATTCAAATTACTAAATATATTTATATAAACAGAATGTTAAATGTTACACGGGTATGAATTATAATATTTTATATATGTGAATTCTAATATTTAGGGAATAACATCACACCCTAGGCGTATGTAATAAATCAGCAAAACCATATATTTTCGTTTTCCTTCCAGTAAAAATAAAAAAAAATAAAAAACTAAAAAAAAAAAAATAAATAAAAAAAAGAAATAATAAAAAAAATGAAAAAAAAAAATAAAAAAAATAAAAAAAAATGAAATAAAAAAAATAAAAAAAAAATATAATGAAAAAAAAATTAATGTAGTTACGTACTTATATGTAAGTCAATAGAAGTTAAGATTTTATTGTTATTACGGGTTCTCTCTATAACAATTGTTATAGAGAGAAAAATTAATTAATAACTCAAAACATAATAGGCTAATGGACTATGTCTCTAGTCATAAAATAAAACTACACACACACACATATTAGCATTGAACAACGATTTTCTCTTGTATTTGGCTTTTTTACTCCTTTTTCTTTTTTCTTTTTAAGAGGGTGGCGTTTTATGATTATTAATCCGATTAATAAAAGTTAAGAAAATTTGTTCTTTGAAATGAAGAAACTTGTACTCACATTTCTATTAGTTTAGTCATCGTTTCCATAACTATCGTCATCATTTGTACCTGGTGTGTTTTTAGTATGTTGTCTGATTCTTGTCTTGAGTTCTTGTGATTGTTATTTTTCAATATCGTCCCGTGATTTGAGCACATAGAATTTTTCTAGACGTTCTCAAATTGGATGTGTGAGGTCTCTCATGATGCGGAAGAAAGAAGGAAAATGGGGCATCGGAAGAAAGAAATAATACTCATGGCTTAAAAACATAAGGGATTGGACAAACCTCGATGCTCATGCACTCGACCATTTAAAATTTTTCATGGTTACTTATAAGTGCTTTAGTATGGTTATCATGCCTTATGGTAGTAACATAATAATTAAAATTTTACTACATTGCTAAATTAATATCTACCTCACCAGGTGCTCTAAATAGCCCCCATTGTCAATTAGATAGTATCCTAGAGGAGTGTAGAATGCGTTAATTAGTAGATAAAATTAATATAGATTTATCGATTATTCTTTGCTGTAGCTCACTTAGTTTTAATAAATTCTCCTTTTTAAGTATCCTCAATAAAAAACTTCTTTAACGAAAAAATTAACTAAGTACCTACTATCCCTGAATATTCACTTAGTTTTTGTGGTCTTGGAGGATATGTAAAATACATTGAGGTAATTGTGGCAACTGCGTTTTCTCAAGCTCATTGCTGTCGTCAAGACCGCAGACCTTTTAAGTTTTAATATCATTAAGACTCTATTGGGTGTGCATCGAGGAAGTTAATTATGCTTTCTGCTCTGTAAATCTACGTAAATAATTTAAAGTTATTGCAGTGCAGTTCAAAACATTTGAAAAATTTTATGGTGAGCTATGTCCACCGAAAAACAGTATTATTCTAAGAGTAGTTAAAAACATATAAATAATTCATTTAAAGAAATTAAAAAACAAACCATACATTATACTGTAAAAATTAGCAAGTAAACTAAATAAAAGGTTTAAATGTACCACCTTCTTTTGCAGGATAATAACTTAGTCTATTATAAAATGCTTGTCTTACGTTTGTAAGCTGTTGTGGCGTGTACGTAGCGCATGCATTTCCTATTTTATTTTCTAAATTAACTAGATTATGTGCCCTCTCGAGATCGTTGCCATATATCGTGGACTTAATATGTCCCCAGAAAAATAAATCCATGGGAGCCAAATCGGAAGATCTCGTAAACCATTTATAGCTGGAATAACGCTACCTTGTAAAAGAGCAAGATATTTAGCTAAATATAGAACTCCCTCAATGAAAAATGGGCCAATTACATGGTCACCTAAAATGCCGGTCCATACATTTTATCCATATTTTCCTGGACGAAAAGAAAGAGAAATAGGAACAGGAAGAGAAAGAGGAAGAGGAAGAGGAAGAGAAAGACATAGAGGAAGCAGAAGAGGAAGAGGAAGAGGAAGAAGAAGAAGAGGAAGAGGAAGAGGAAGAGAAAGAGGAAGAGGAAGAGGAAGGGGAAGGTAAAGAGGAAGAGGAAAAGGAAGAGGAAGAGGAAGAGGAAGAGAAAGAGGAACAGGAAGACGAAGAGGAAGAGGAAGACGAAGAGGAAAAGGGAGAAGAATAGAAAGATGAAGAGGAAGAGGAAGAGAAAGAGGAAGGGAAAGAAGAAGAGAAGAGGAAGAAAAAGAGACGAGGAAGAGGAAGAGGAAGAGGAAGAGGAAGAGGAAGAGAAAGGGGAAGAGGAAGAGGAAGAGAAAGAGGAAGAGGAAGAGGAAGAGAAAGAGGAAGAGGAAGAGGTAGAGGAAAAGAAAGAGAAAATGGAACTAGAATATAAATTAAAATGGAAATGGAAGCTGCAATAGAAGGAGAAGAGTAATTGAAAGTGAGAAAGAAAGAGGTAGATAAAGGAGAAGAGAAAAGTGAAAAGCATGAGTAAGATAAAGACAAAAATAAAATCAACACATTAATAAAAAGCCAGAAACTAGTCCAAGTAATGTGTAAATAATTGGTAGTGAAAAAAAAAAATTAAGGAGAAGAAAAATATATATAGAGGAGGAGAAAGGGTTAATGGAAAAGAAAGGAGAAGATTTTAGAATGAAGCTCAAGCTCAAGTCATTACCTTGTTTATCGTAATGTTTTAAAATATTTCTCTTGTATTATTATTGATCACACTCAACATCTAATTTTGCTTCCAAACAGTCCTTGTGGACACACCGTCTCAGGACTAGCAACTTCAACGTGGAGTCATATGTCGCCATGTTACCTTATACAACGGTAACTTTAACATTATAACATATTATAAGAAGTATTGTATACCAAATGTAACTAATTATTTGTTAACGGGTTTTTACCCATATATTTGTAATTGAGAGTGAGAAAGTAATTGAAAGTGAGAAAGAAAGAGGTAGATAAAGGAGAAGAGAAAAGTGAAAAGCATGAGTAAGATAAAGACAAAAATAAATCAACACATTAATAAAAAGCCAGAAACTAGTCCAAGTAATGTGTAAATAATTGGTAGTGAAAAAAAAATTAAGGAGAAGAAAAATATATATAGAGGAGGAGAAAGGGTTAATGGAAAAGAAAGGAGAAGATTTTAGAATGAAGCTCAAGCTCAAGTCATTACCTTGTTTATCGTAATGTTTTAAAATATTTCTCTTGTATTATTATTGATCACACTCAACATCTAATTTTGCTTCCAAACAGTCCTTGTGGACACACCGTCTCAGGACTAGCAACTTCAACGTGGAGTCATATGTCGCCATGTTACCTTATACAACGGTAACTTTAACATTATAACATATTATAAGAAGTATTGTATACCAAATGTAACTAATTATTTGTTAACGGGTTTTTACCCATATATTTAGTGGCTACATTCATGTACTCCTAGACACTGATGATGGAATATGGATTCCGAAAACGTTTTGTATAATTAGCCCGTTGGGGGTTTTTAAATACATACCTTTTATAAAGGTTTTTTAATAAATTTTTTTTAATATATGGTATACAGCCAACTACAGGAACGTAGATTCCTTGTGGATATCTAATTTTATAATATTTTTGACAATATTCTGGTTTCTCATTATTTTTAACAACTAATTTTCACATATTTTAAGGTAGTATTTTAAATGGTCAAGGCGAAAAATATTGGGACGGTTTTGGAGATAACGGAGTAGTCAAACCAAAATTCTTTAGGGTAGCTACAACTGGTGGCTCTATATTAAAAAACATCTATTTATTGAATTGTCCACACTTTTGTGTGGGGGTTTATGCCACAGATGTTACTCTTACCGGATGGACTATTGATGTTCTAGCTGGAAATATGGTATGTTGTACTTTTAGTTTTCTGTAAAAATAATTGTATTTTGGTATTGCAATGCAAAGATCAAGGGGTTATAGTATACTAAAAAACTCAGAAATATTCTATAATGTAGATTTAAAAAGTGTCGTTTTTCTGTTTATATCCATCTATGTTTTAGAGCAGGGGTGCTCAAACTTGAACTGCTGCCGACCTACCTCAATATTTTTAGACTACTTACGATCGACTCTGAGAGACTGCAAGTGTGTGTGATGCAGGGTTGTCGTACATACACAATACACCCTACCTACCTAGGTAGGGCGTACCGTAGCATATATAGATATTAGCTTTCTGCACAATATAGGTACATTATTTTAGTCAAGGTTTGGGTTAGGTTTAGTTAGGTTCTTCTCTACAATATTAATGAAAAAACTCATAGTTATTCAAAATTGCGAGTTTATTTATTGTTACAAAACAAAAGAGTTACATATGGTGTTATACTTAACTAAGGAGTGGCTTTGGATGTTGAAGCGTGGCACTGCATGTCCTCAGCATACTTTTCATAAGATGGTACGTAACCACCGAGTGCTAATCGCAAGCATGATGTCATATGATCGTCAGTTAGTCGATTGCGATATTTTGACTTAATTATCTTCATTTCAGAAAATGCAGACCCGCACAAGTAAGTTGACCCAAAAAATGCCGTCAGTTGAAGGGCGATTTGCCTTACATTCGGATATTTATCTTCAGATATAAAAGCCAGAAATTTGTATCAGATACTGTAGCTTTGAGATGTATATCTGATATAATCTGCACCAACTCATTTTCAACAGAACATGAGTTCATATTAAACTGACTTGCTATTTCAGTAGCTAATTTCTCAATGTATTTACATGAAAAAGGATAACTCATAAATGATGCTATATTTTCCAATTTACTGCAATCATAAAAAAGCATTTCGAATTGTCCCAAAATATTTGATAATTCAGCCTCATACGTATCATAATTCAACTGAGGAATCCTTGCTTTCAAAGACGGAAAATGTTTCAGATCCTTCCTTTTCAGTTGATCTATCATAAGTTGCAATTTACTTTTGAATGCGTTTACTGCGCTAATTATCTCAATAATAGTTTCTCCTTTACCTTGAAGCTCCAAGTTAACGGTGTTTAAGTGCATTGTGATGTCAGTCAAAAATGCCAAATCATTTAGCCATTTTTCGTTTTTCAAAATTTGAGTGTCACTTTCGTCTAGAAAAGCTGTTTTCTCGGGCAATAATTCTTGAAACCTTTCTAGGAATTTTCCGCGACTCAACCACCTGACGTCCGTGTAAAGAACTAAATCAGTGTGTTCAGCTGACTCCCTATCTTCCAACTGCAACTGAAAGAGACGCCGTTGCAAGCACGTGCACGGACGGAATTCACAATTTTTGTTGCAATGCCCATAATTTCTTCCGTGTTTAAAACTTTTGAACACAAAACTTGTTGATGTATAATGCAATGGAATGAAAAAAATGAAGGGAATTCTTTATTAGCTCGACACAATGCCACAAAACCGTTTTTGTTTCCAGTCATTGCTGGTGCTCCATCGGTTGTAATGCACATTATTTATATATTGGTGGCTCGTAGTTTTTTACAAAATTTAAGAAAACGTCATATATATCTTCGCCACGGGTCTTCCCCTTCAAAGGAAAGATTGTTAAAAATTCTTTCTAAGCCAACATGTCATTGAATACCATCCGAATAAAAATACACAGCTGGGCAGTGTCTGTCATATCGATGGATTCGTCGAACTGTAAAGAAAAGTATGTACATTCCATGATATCATGTTTTAGTTTATCTGCGATGTCTTGACTCATGACTTCAATACGCCTTGTGACAGTCGGACGATATAACTGAAGTTCTAGCAGACATGATTTCTGTTTTATTTTTAAAATCTCCAAATAACGTCTCACCCGCTTTAATAAATGCTTCCTTCACCACCGATCCATCTTCAAATGGTTTCTTGTGTTTCGCCAAAATATGAGATATTTTAAATGACGCGATCGTAGCAGCTTTTGATTGTTTGGCTGGTCTTGTGAACATGGATTGTTCTTTTTTCAAACAAGATATCAAATCACTTACTTTTCGTTTTCTTAATTCACTCTGTGGCGGAAAAGCCGTTTCATAGTTTTTATGAACCGTTTTATGATGCCTCTCTAAGTAACCACGCTTAGGTATTGCAACTGACGCACGACAAATAACACAAATGCACTTATCCTTCACAATAGAAAAGAAAAAGTCTTCCTCCCAATCCTTATTAAAATGATATGTTTTAGATTTCTTCACTGCACTCATTTTCCACTATTTAATAATAAACTTTGTATCGACGTAAACTCCAATTCCTGCAGGCGCAACATTTATATCGGCGTAAACGAAAGTCTCGAATGTTTCCGTCAAACGCGCCGCCCGAAACTAGACTGTACTATCTCTCGTCTAGAAACAACCCGGCTTTTCTTTGACAAGTGCCGCGCGTTTCTTTGATAAAGCCACCTTTCACCGCAAGCAGTGTTATTTTATTACGTAATAAATTTTTGTAGTTGATAGAATATCATCCCAAATTTGATTAATAATTATAATAAATATTGAATTAATAAAATAATTAGTTAATATGTGTAAATATAAAATATGCTGTGTGGACAGTATTTTGTTGTTCCCACTTCTTTGAATTGCAATGATGCTTAGTCAAGCATTCTATGTTTTAAAAACGTTTAACTCTGCTGACAGTAGTTTAGTTACCTTACCATTACTTATTAAAATTTTTTTTCTTCTTGAGATCTACCCAAAAAGCACTCGCGATCGACCAGTCGATCGCGATCGACCGTTTGAGCACCCCTGTTTTAGAGATTCTCGTTACAGTTTCGTGTAATGGGGGATAGTCTAATATTACCTGTGAGGTTTAAAGTTAAATTTTTTGCAGTTTTTTAATTTTTTTTTTATCATCATCATTATCAGTGGCATTACAGCTTGTTGTGAGCCAAAGCTTTCTTCAAAACAATCTTCCGTTCGCCCCTGTCTCTGATAACTCTTCTTGTCTCTCTATGTTACCTTGATACCTAAGTTTTGGTCTTCCTCTGGATCGTCTTCCAACTGGTCCTCTTTGGTCGAAAATTTTTTTAATCGTTGCATCTTCATCTCGCCTAATTATATGTCCTATCCATCGAAGGCGTGCTAATTTAATACATTTTACAACGTCAGGTTGCCCAAAACTTCTGTATAACTCTTTAATTTTTTTACAGTTACTCTATTACACCACAATGTAATAGTTAGAGTGCCTGTCGACCAAAATGTTTGTGATAGAAATTCTTCCCCAAATTTTGGATATCGCTTCTTCAGACCGAGTCTGACACGATTTCCCTATGCGACTTTCTTTGGTTGTGGGGCGTTTGCCCTCTAATTTTCCAAAAAATTTTCACCCATCAGACAGAAAATTGGAAAACAAGTTCCATCAGACAATATATTATTTTTATTCAATATAGCTTAAAAATCATAAGAAAAACACCATAATAAAATAGTCAGATGATAAATGTAGGTCACTCAATGGTTCTGACGACTCGAACATGTCGACTACTACCGTAACGAAATTTTTTGATAACAACAGCAAAATCAGCTTTTCATATTGTTTGATGGAACTTATTTTTCGATTTTTCTACCGGGTAAAAATTTTCCCAAAAATTTGAATTAAAAATGCCCCAGAACCAAACAAAGTCGCAGAGGGAAATCGTGCCAGACTCGGCCTAATGATAATACCCAAAGTTTGGAGATAGTATCTGTCATAAACTTTTTGCCAATGGGCACTCCAACTATAAATAGTTATGAGTATGGAAACCATTATATGTATAAAAAAAATTATTTTTGGTCTCTAACTTTATATTTTGCCACAAAGCCTGTGGATCTCTAGAGAGTCTTTATAGTAGGAAGGTTTATTGTTTATTTTTTTCTTAATAAATACAACAAGGAAATGTCATTTTATTAGAATTTGTGATGGACTCGACCGTTACCTAATAGAAGTTCATTTTATTAAGCAATAAAACACTGAAAACCTTTATTTTATTATAATTAAGGAATAACTTAAGGAGGAAAAACTGTTTGTCTCAAGTTGGTCATTTAGAATCATATCTATATTTTTTAATTTGTTAATTTCCACAGATTCTAATAATTGCTTTTATTTTGAATGTGAAGAATTTGAAATTGGTCATTAAAAGAATGATTATGATCTCTAAGGTGAAGTGCGTAAGAAAAATCTGTTTTTCTATTATTGAAAACCCTTTTGTGTTCTGCTATCCGTTTGTTAAAGCTTCCACCAGTTTGACCGATGTAAGTTTTTTTGCAGTCGCCCAAAGTACAATAAAGAACAATATTACTGATAATTATTTGTAAGTCAAATTTTAAAATTAAAAAAAAAAAAAGATAATTCGGGCGTTAATCGGTTAGTTTAGTAAGCATACATACATAATTGTCTTTATTTAATAACTATAACACATTGCGTGCCACATTAGGCATATCTGCCCGACCGTGATGTTTCCATTCAGCCCACGTCAGGAATATATGCTTGACGCAAACTTTTGTGTAAAAGGCCTCATCAGTCATATCTGATTGACGATACGTATATTTTCTTATGAGATTTTAAATAGTAGCCTGTGGCGAATATAAAGCTATACTTGGTTTGGTTAGGTTAATTTGGCCAAGACATAATATACCTAATTTCTCCAAAGAAGACAATGCTAATCTTGTTAATAATAATAATACAAATTATATTGTTATTTGTCTCTTAGATCACTATCTTCTTGTAGATTTAATATATAATAATTTTAATATGCAACACCTATTTATTTCTTCTTATACACAAAAAAATACAAAATTAAAAAGAAACTTAACATTTAAATCCAAATCTACCTGGAAGTACGTAAAAACCACAGAAAGAATTATTTTAAAAACTAATACGAACTATGTCAAGCCAAATTAAAACATTTCAGACACGTAAAAGGTTGGCCAGGACATTCTACACAATAAGTGTAAACCAATTTTGTACGATTTCTGGCTACTTGTCTTCCTTCTCACACTTTTATTCGAGCATAGCAAGCAGCACAACTTCTTCTTATTCTCTTGCCTTTATCGTTTATTTTCTGTTCTAAATAATGAGTATTTCGTGCTGATGATTTTCTTCTTTTAGTTAGCACATGTACTCTTTTCTCCTTTATTTGTAACAAGTCTTTTACTAAGGATTCTCGAGTAGTACGAATTGAAATTTTAGCTTTAGTGATTTTCTTAAATACGACCAAGTATTAACTTCTGCGACACCTACTAGTATTTCAAGACCTAGCTTGCGATACCTCTTGATACCCTTACGGAGGGTTGTTACATGAGGCCATTTGGTCAGATAAATCAATTCCTCCTTTACCCTTGTTATAGGCAAGTAATGCCAAAGATTTTTTAGTTGCCCTACGTATTTTGCGGCTTTTCGTTTTTGGTTACTCTATTTTATAGTCTGTGATGCTGTTTCGTCATTTGTTGTATGTCCAAGTGAATTTTGAATATAAATACTTGATGTTTGAACGTTTGTGGAATCAATTGATGAATCCGAAGAGTAACCAAATTGGGGTTTAGTGCTTGCGATCGTTGATAAATGCAGATCATTGTTGCTGGTTGAGGGTTGTGGATCTGTAAACTTTATGGAATGCTGAAGCTTTGGTTCTATGTCTACCATTGTCGGTGCATGCCGGGCATAATTGACTGACGTGGCCACCTACGTAAAAAAATCCATAAAATAACCTGAGGGGCCACGTCAGTTATATTTGACTGACATAAAAAAAACTAGTGTAAAAGACTAATAACAAAAAAAAATTCTAAAAACAACCCCTTTTTAAACCTATATGAAAAGAAAATACCAATGGCCGTATGGAGTATTTTTCCAATATAGGCGTGGCACGCAATGTGTTAATAGTCCAATATGCTTCTCGTCGGGCTGGGAGTCTTTTGTTTTTCATTTTGTTGAAGTGCATATAGTACCTCTATATGTATTCTTATTGGTCTGCTGTATGGTTCTTATGATATTGCTGGATTGAGACTTTTATTGGATTTTCTAATTTTTACCATCTCGGGGGGCTCGTTACATGACATTCTCGGTCAAAAGCAAACCTTGAACTAAGATTAAAATTATATCTATTAAATAATGTACAGTATATAATGAGATAAGCAAAAAGACTAGTAGATTTGATAGAATAACTTATTTGTAGAACATCTACTAGAACTAAATTCCAAATAAAATATAATACAATTCTTAATTTTGAATTATTTTTCAGAACGGAGGCCTTAATACCGACGGTTTTGGAATACATTCAGGAAGAAATATAATTATACAAGATTCTGTTGTAATGAATCAAGACGATTGCGTAGTTGTCAATTCTGGTTCTAATATGATATTTAGAAATTTGCAATGTTATGGTACTCATGGACTGAGTTTTTCCGTTGGTAGTACAACTGAAGAAAATGCAGAGGCCGGCATAGTTCAAAATATTACATTTTTGGACTCTCTTGTTGCAAATGGATTGTATGGAATACATATAAAAACGAAGAAGGGATCTGGAATGATTAAGGACGTTATCTATGAAAATATTCAAGTATTAGGTAATAAACGTCCATATTATGTGTGGACAAATATCGATTTCTTCCAATATGGTCAAGTTAAAACGCTTAAAATCTCTGACATTCATCGTTTTCTACCGATTTGAAGGAATGGTGCTATACTACTTATTAAAATATACAAGACGACATATTTATCTAAATTTCAACCATTTAGTGCCACGGTTTTTTCCCAACCCCCTTCAGCTGTTTTATTTTTTATACGAATTTGGAACTTAGTTCTATTTTTATTTTGTTATAAGGCTGAATGCTTAAATAAATGAACTTTGGTCAAATAAAAGGCAGATATCGAGCACATTTTTATTAATTAAACCTTGCCCAAGTAGGTACTTTCGCTTCCTAGAATAATCCCAATATTATTCATAAGCTTCTAAATAGAACTAAAGTCAACATTGCAGAAAAGCTTGCATATTCATCACAATGTTTTCTTCAACCTAATGCTTCAAATAACATCAGATATTTCTTCTTTACATGTCAGCAACATATCCAATAAAATATTTAAACTTTTTACTTCTACAATTGACAACATTAAAATTTCTTTTAAGTCACACAACACTTTAGGTTCTTAATCAACACTTCTTAATCAAAACCAAAGATATGATGAACACACTTGACAAAAGTGGAATTTAATTTAATCCAGTTAATACAATTTTAACATCAATATACACCTTCACCTCGTAGGGGATCTAGCTCGGCTGTTTAGACTTCCTGCACTGAGTATACCCATTAAGAATTTATTAATTTCATGCTTTGATCAACATTACTATTTAATTTTTTAATAATTTTACAAAACTAGCTTGCTCTGTAGCTTGTTAATTACACTCTCCATTCCTCTGCGTAATTTACATATTTAATTTAATTTGTTCCACATTTGCATATGTCAACATCTCCCACTATTGGGCAGTTTATCTTGAGTAACGCTTTGAGATATTACTTTTATAGTTCTCCCATTGACTGTGGGTTTAACTGAACTACTTGGATTATACCCCATTTATACACTGCTTTCGATTTTGATTTATATTTTTAGTATTTTAATTTCATAGTCAGATTTCTTCTTTCTTACAGTATTGATAGTGCTTGGTAGATCCTTTTATTGTAGTCAACCACCCACCGTCTAATAGATTGTTTAGTCTATTTTTTGCATTCATACTTTACTTTACGTCCACTTTACTTTATGTCCACTTCAGTTGCTCTCAAACTCACAAACTATTCTATATAATTTCATATTTCATCAGTTGATTTCCTATAGTAGTTTCAGTTGGACCTGCGGCCAATGCTTAGTTTTACAGAATTTTGAAATGTGCAGATCACATCTCCATGATTGTGACTGCCCATCTAAGTTGTTATATGTCACATGTCATCTTAACATTTACGTTAAGGAGCCATTCTCTCTCCTAATGCCGACCATATTGTAGTTTTCCCTATTTAAAAAAAATGAACTGTTTGTCCTTGTGCAGTTAAGTGTAATGTACAATTTTTGTTTATGACGTTCTATGATTGTTAGATAGGCCAAAATTGACGAAGTAAATCATTAATCACATAAACACTTTTATCAACCATCAACTTCGAGTTTTTTATCGAAGTTAATTAATTTCTTCATTTAAAAACGTTTCTTGACTTATTTCAGATGCCCCTAAAGATTCTCTAGGAAGCGAAAGGAGCAAGATTTAATTAAAAATACTGTGCTCGATATCTGCTTTTCATTTGATAAAAGTTCTTCGCGCTTGCTTTACTCAAAGATATTTATATAGTACATATCATTTTCATCCACGATTTTAGTATTTTTACATTTAGATATTTAAGCCAATTTGAATTATCGAATATTAAGAACACGGCACTTGTCTAGGCCAAAGTTCTTACTGATATCATTTGAAAAGGTTTCTGTAGTTTTTAACCCGGCGCCAGTATGGTCGAAAATTACAACATGGGTATGGTGGAGTATGAGATACCCCGTTTGAATATTTATTATATTCTTTTATATACTACAAAATTACCTGAATCAATGTATTATTTATATTATTAAAACAAAGTTGAGCATGAAAGGAGATTTAGTATTACAAAACATATCAGAATATGATAAAAATTTACCGATAATACTAGAGTAATCTTAACTTGGACACTAAACGTATATAAAAGCTGCTTGTAACATAAAAACTCTAATCTTATCTAAATCTAATCTGCGTCACTTATTTTACATTTGATACATATTTGCTCTGAATGTTCCATACAAACCCACTACTCACAAGCAGAACAAGTTAGATGAGATTTTCTATCTTTTGACCGTGGACAGATACAACATCTTCCCATTCCTTTTCTTTTTTTGGACGTTGACGGCTGAGGTTCATCTTCGTTCTTGCGCTTCTTTGATGATGTTATTATTTTCTTTCTCAACACTCTGGGTAATTTTGAATTTTCTTTCCTCTCATGAAGGTGGTCTGTAATCAAAGATAGTCACAACTAGTTTAAGAAAAAAATGAAAATGAATGAAACATGGCTAGCGGCCATCTCCTAGTATTTCTACTCACACTATAGGTACCACTAAGCTCGTCCACCACGTCTACTCCTCCTTTAGTGAAGTTGTAAAAACTAATCATCTCTGGTTTTTCAGCTTCACCAGTGGCTGGATCTATTTTGTCATCATGATGGAGGGAAGAAAGAAGTAAAACGTTCTTTCCTCTCCGAGGGATGTATGACAGCAATGTTACATCATGCGTAAAACCGAAAAGTGAACTCCGTTCAGGTCTCTTCTTTGTCTGAACAAAGGCAGGAGGAAGCTCCATTTTATTTTTACGTAAGGTGCAGACAGGTGTCAATCGATGCTCTTTTAGTAATGTGTATAGCAGAGGACAACTGGCAAACCAATTATGGGTGCTATTAATCTAATAACAATGTTTTCTGGTTTGTTACTTATTTGAAACGGACCTTCGGGTTGTTTTTCGAGGTACGCCTAAATATTAAACAGGTAAAATGTTCTCGCATCTACAACGGCAAAAATTTTCAAGCAGTATTTTGCCGGTTTATTTGGCATGTATTGCTTGAACGGGCATCGCCCGCGAAAGGACTCCAGTTTTTCGTCTATAGTGACGTATTCTCCAGGAATGTAGTAAGCTTTGCAATTTTCGGTAAAAAGATCAAACATTACTCGAAAAGGGGCAAATTTATCTAACTGGCGTCTTTCATTTCTGGACTCTTTATTATCAAATCGCATGGAAGATATAATGAACATAAAACGTTTCAGTGATATGGTTGTTCTAAAAATATCTACGCCTAAGCCATCAGTACTCCATAAATCTTCTAAATTCATCCTATTGGCACGAAATACACCAGCCAAATACAGGAGTCCAAGCACCGCCTTCATTTCTTGTATTGTTGTTGGTTTTACGAGGTATTGCATATTCTTGTTATAACCTGTTACTTTCTGACCCATATTCAGATTCGTATACTTTACAATACCTGCCAACATCATATCGTTCAAAAATAAATTAAAACACTGAAGAGGAGTTTTCGCATTTCGAGCAACGCCCTTTGGTCCCGGAAGATGGCTTACGATATTCTCGCGTCGTGTGCGTACTTTAAGGTTACCACAAGATTTTGACCACTTAGTTTTTCCATCACGTCCTATAAAATATTCTCATGTATTTGAGGAATCATCATCTATTGCTGAGTTGGTGGATATGTTTTCTGTCATTGCTTCAGGCACTTCTGGATCCACAATTTCAGAATCTGATTCTGACATTGGATTTTCGCTGATATGATCGGGAAGTTCTCCCTCAGATTCTGAACCAATAGCGTGTTCATCTTGCGATTCTTCCCACAATTGCAGAAGCCTTCTGTGTTCTTGTTCATAGGACATTCTGTAATAAAATATCACTAAAACCCTGCATATATAGGTACAATAAATTTCAATACATTACCTTAAAAAATATATAACACTACCGGTATGGTGGGATATACAACACCCTAACGCTGTTTACACGAAAATATTTTACTACTGCTTCACTCGACGGTCGCGAACAAACTGCTGAAGACAGTATATAACCATTGATATGTAGTGGTTTATAATCAATGATATAACCTAACTCGAAGGTAGGCGGGGTTTAACTGTTTGATGATTGAAGTTGCGCAAACGCGGGCGTTTTAAATTCTCGTGGGGTATGTGATACCCCACAATACCGTCGCCGGGTTAACATCATATCTAAGTTATTTCGGGTGGAAGCCAATATTTTCCAATCATTTATCAACAACAAACGATTCAGATTTGTCACTACAATATTAACTTTTATTACTAAAACCTAAGTGAGTGAAGTTCAGTAGCTGGGATAGAGCTTATGTCATTATTTTAACTTATACTTGGAGGGTGAAAAAATATGTACCCTATTGGCTACTAAAAACATTTTTCTTTATTTCGTCTAATCTGTGTGCTAGTTTTTGCTATCGATAATTTTAGCTTCCCCTTCCTCTTTTTGTAATCCTTTAGATAATTTATTCATGATAATTTATTTCACAAGAATGAATAGCACGTTTTTGCTTAAAATATCTCATGATTAAGCATAATAGATATAAACACTTCAAACAGTTTCAAAATAGTGAAATAGGTACGTATTTACTAACTAATCACTTTTTTTATACAGGAATCACAGAAGATGGGATTTACATTAATCAAGATTATGAAGATATAGGAAATTATTCTCGAGAATTTCAAATACATAATCTCAAAATTTCGAACGTATATGGCTCTGTTCAAGGATTACTGACAAGACCTATTCACGTTGTTTGTAATGAAAATAAGTGTTCAAACTGGAGTTGGTCAAATATTAATATTGTGGGAACTGGAAAGAGCTACTGCAACTATATGCCAGAAGGATTTAAATGCTAGCAATAATTATATAGACATTTTCAACAACTTCTCTTTCAGGTATATTTGGTTATGATTTAAATATAAAATAAATATTACTTTTATTGTTATGTTATATTTCGAGGCTATTGACTCCCTTTACAGTAAGTATCAAATTATTGTATTCATTCATACCTCCAATATGGATCACTGGCGGGGATTGCTTAACCCTTAAGTACTAATATACCATTTCACAGACAGTATTACAACTTCGGATGAAGAATATCTTCTCACCCCATCAATTTTCAGCGTGAGCTGTTCATGTAATTTCAGTGTCTTTACAGATGTATATGGACTAAATACATACAAGAACTCTTTGATGATAATAGGTCCGAACAGCCTTTGTCCTACATATGTAATAATCACTTACCAATAACATCAGATGAAATGGAAAAAGCAATATCACAAGATGGCAAAGCTCCTAGACCTGACAATGTATGTGCTAAACTCATAAAGCTATTTAACACCGACGGTACTTAACGACTAACAAAAATGAAATATATTTAAACGGTGTAATACCAAGGTCATTGCTGAAGTCGACGTTTATTGTTCTACGAAAGAACACAAAATCCGTATTCTACAATGATTTCCGGACCATCAGCTTTGTGAGCCACATTTTAAAGTTATTTCTAAAAATCATACATAAAGAAATATATAGTAGGCCGGGCCGAATTTTTTTTAATTTTTCTACAGGGCTAGTTGCCAAAAGTTGTGACTAGTATTTATATAATCCTATACCAAATTTGGTTTGTTTTAAAAAATATTTAACCGGGCCCGGCCCCTAAAAACATTTTTTTTTGGTCGATTTTTTTTAAATTATCCTACAAGGCTAGTTACCAAAAGTTGAAACTAGTATTTAAACTCCTGGACAAAATTAACGCTCCACTTTAATTAATCTAAATATTTAGAATATGAACACAAAATAAAACTAAGTTACATTGAAATAATAATAAACACCTATAAATAAATCCAACATGACTTTATAATGACCTTATTTTGGCTTATTGTTTCTCTAAAAATTTGTTTTTGCCGGAAATACGTAAATAAGCTAGCATAACTCCAGATTGTAAAAAGAAAAAAATCAGTAAAGTAACACAATAAAATGCATCTGGGTCAATACTAATACCGTGTAGGCCCTCCTCTACTTCTTATGACTGCAGTTATCCGTCGAGGCATGCTTGATATCAAATGTTCAACAAAAGCTTGCAGAATATTCTCCCATTCTTCAATAACTGCCTCAATGAGTTGCTTGTGATTGGCAATAGGGGGTCTATGACTTCCAATCTTTTTTAGATATTTTCATAGTTGCTATATAGAATTCATGTGCGGACTGTTAAGTGGCCACTCTACTAATGGAATATCAACATCATTTGTGTAGCCAATAACCTGTCGAGCAAGACGAGGACGAATAAAAAAAATGCATGAATAAAAAATTAGGCCCAAGAAACTGGGCAAAAGGCATTACATGTTCATAAATAATGTTATCTAAGTAATAATGGGTATTCACAGACCTCGTACGTATGGCGACTAACTCCGTACGAACTTCAAAACAAATTCCTCCCCAAACCATTTTAGAGCCACCACCAAAAGGTACTTTTGGGAAAGGTATTGCAGCTGGTAAACCTTTCTCTTCGCCTTCGCCAGACACGCTCACGACCATCGGGAGCTTTTAGGCTTACTCTAGTTACATCGGAAAAAGAACTCATTTGCAATCATCGATGGTCCAATTTTGATGCAATCTTGCAAAATTCAATCTCTGAACCCTGTGTTCTCTTGTAAGCAAGGGTTTTTTGGCCGGTTTCCTGTTGCTTAATTCTGCTTTATGTAAACGTCTTCTAACTGTTCGAGACGATATTGCTACATTTCGAATACGCTAGTTCATTCTAGTTCATTTTTTAGCAGCAAATTGCTGGCGACTCTTCTATCTCTGAGAGCACATTGTCTCAAAAAACGATCATCAATTTGATTAGTGCAACGTTTTCCCCTTGCCGTGGTCTTCGATGGTACGACCCTCTTTCATTATATCGCCCCACCTTGCGGCTGATGCTTTAATAATGTCTTTGTAAGAAACCTGTAACGTATCGCATTGAGTATCCTTCATCTAGGAGAGTCGATGCTCACACTGCCTCCTACATTGACAAATTTCTTTGGCGGTTCATTTTTTTATTTGATTTTAATGCAAATGAACTTCCAAACATGCATATGATGAAAAATATCACAATAAAAAACTTGTTTCTTACTTTGCTTTAATCGGCATATTTTTATAAATTTTTATTTTTATTATCGAGTTAGAATCTATGAGCATATTAACGTATGTATTAAAAAAGGCGTAGATAGGCGTGGCTAACGATAATAATACCAATATGGCGGTGGGATCAGGGCCAGACTCAATATTATTAAAACTACTATACAAATATGACTAGGTATTCAGAAGTTTTAATCATAATCTAAAAAAGTGCTATAAATTTTAATAAACCATGATTTATTTATCCCGCGGTAAACACTAAAAAAAAACGATATATTATACATAAAGATAAATTAATACAGTCAAATACTATTAATTTATTCTCTGAAGTACGGACCATACTTTGTTTACATATGTGTAAACTAACCTGCGGAACGATATTCCTGAAAATGTTTTATTAACATTGCTTCTGCTACTGCAACTACGTTGAGAACAAGAAACCATTATTATGCACTATCACAATACATTATTACAGTTTCTATAAAAGTATTATAAAACTAAAAATATTAAAAAAACAACAAATGTAAACAAACATATACGATCTGTCAAAAGAGTCAAAGCAATATTAACAATATGGCCGAAGTGAAGTCGATTTTAGTCACGTGATGCCCTCTCCATAGATTCTAACTCGATGATTTTTACTCATTTTTAGTCTAAAATGAAGTTTAATACAAATTATTGTTATAACAAGAGTATTATTAGCTTACATAACAACTGTCACTGCCAAACAAGTTCCATAGGTAAATTATCAATAAATAAAGATTTTTGATAAAAATATGAGTGGTGCGTTAATTTTGTTCAGGAGTTTATATATTCCTATACGAAATTTGGGTCGATTAAAAAAATAATTAACCGGGCCCCCTGACCCTTACAGATTGTTTTTTAATTTTTGGGGCTAGTGAAAAATTGTTAGTAAACTACTTTATTATTCTGCAAAAAAATAATCCATAAAATATATGGTAAGTTTGACCCGGCCCCTTTACTATTTTTTTTTGGAGGTGCAAGTGATATTTTTCCGGAAGAAGCAAGTGTATTGCCAATGTACGAAGATGTGATGAGGTGTTTTCAAAGTGTACGCTTACAATTAAAAGGTAAAGGAAGTAAGGAACCAGCGTCCAGAGATACCAGATAGTCCAGTTTGTTTAGAAAAAAGCTTCTGTACCTACCATTGTGCACAAAAGAGTGGTAGATATGATACTGCAATATAAAAATAAATATCAGAATATCATCAAACCTTTTTAAATGCAGAAAAGCTATTGTTTTCACATAAAAAATGAAAAAAATTACAAATAAAGCCAGTCGGTTGTTCGATATTTGCTCCTGTAAATGCGAAAACAGACAATTGTGTAAGTGTGACGAGACTAAAACAATAACAAATCTAGAATGGAATTTTGTACAAGACCAGAGAAATTTAAGAATACAAATATTTTTTAAGAAAAAAATGACAGAAAATTGTATGAGGCTCAAAGGCAATCTAATAATACAACTGCATCCTTAGAATAGCCTATAGCTGGTAAAAGTGGTCTTTGTCCTGTTGTAAACTCATCGACAACGAAAACTAGGGTAACAAAGACAAATGGTGATAGCAGCAAAAGTTCAGGATATCATTAACTTAGTCGACTCGAAATAAATACTTAAACTTACTCACACTTCTAAAGCTGCTGATTTGACAGGTGTATCTAATCGCTGCAAAAATTGGAAATGCCGTTCTAGAAGATTTAAATTTAATTTCCAAAGATAATACAGCGCTGGTTATTGACAAAAATAATATTCGGAGAGAAGTTAAGGTAAACAGACGACAACTATAGCATGTAACTTCAGAACAATATTAAGAAACTTTAGCATGAGACCAAAAATTTAAGACCAAAGTCAATTGAAGGGTTGTACTTGGATGGAAGAAAAGATCAAACGATGGTCTTCGAAAACGCAAGGCGAACTGTGAAAACTGAAGAGCATATATCTTTAATTGAATAACCAGGTAGTTTATATTTTGGGCACTTAGCTAGCCAGTGTCGTGTCATAGATATTGCCGAAGGAATATTAGACTACTTACAAAGCCATAATATAGATTAAAGCAAATCAAGTGTTGTAGAATGTCACGGTACAAATGTCAATACGGGCTGGAAAGGTGAAGTAATTTGGATTCTAGAAAGGCGAGCAAATAAACAATTACAGTGGAGTGTATGTCTGTTGCACGCAAATGAACTTTCCTTACGACATTTGTTGCAAAAATTAGATGGTCATACAAAAGGTCCCTATTCATATTCTGGACCTATTGGATCCTTTCCTGCCAATTGCGAAATGAAATGCCTGTTGTTAAATTTAAACCCATAAAAGCTGTCCTGCCTGTTGTGAACGAAAATTATGTAAGTACAGATCAACAGTATTTGTACAAACTATCTAAGGCAATTAGAGATGGAATATGTTCTCAAAGTTTGGTAGAAAGAAGTCCAAGGAAGATGGCGCACTCACTTTGGTTAAAACCAACCAGGCTAACCGCAATCTTAGAATTTATGTAGCTACATCTGATCCTTATGAAAGCTTAAAGATTTTAGATGAGTTTGTAATAAAATTATATTCTCGTATGTGGTTTGAGATAAAAACACAGCCAAGATTGGAATATGCAGCCGGGCTGGAAATATATGGAAATTAGTGTAGATCTCGAGAGATTTTCCTAATAAGTGTCATTGATTATCACTAAAGTTATTCAAGACAAAACTTATTTTTGCGCACCCTGAAAACATTCAATTTCTATGTTAATAGACTCACGCCAACATATTAGAGAAGTTGCTGTCAGAAGAATTTTAAAATGTAGGAAAGCTAGCATAAAAGATTATATTTTTAAAGTACCTCAAATCAATTTCGATGCAGAAGATTACATAGATCTCATATACTGGACGAGTAATACCATAACAGAACCTTCTCTTACACAGCATTTGGCCGACAAGAAAGTGTGGGATAGGCAAAAACAAGTTCCAAATTTGGGCCATTTTCCTTGATATACTCAAGCGGTGGAGAGATGCGTTAAAATAATTACAGATACATCAATAAAAGTGTGTGGTGAAGAATTTACAGATGGTTACATCCGAGCTTAACTTGATACGAGAAGGAATTTGCCGATATTTAAAAGTAAATATCAATATTATACTTCAAAAAGTGAGTAAGTAAAACATAATATTATACATTTAATTTTGAGCAAAGGAGGATATGTGGATGAAATTTGCCGTGCAGCTACCTTCCCGTGGTAAGTTCTGGGTTGAATGAATATGCGGAATAATGTTAAATATTTGCAGAATATTTTAATGCACAGAACCTTTCGTGTCGAATATTGATTCAAGCGAAGAGCGACACTATTCACAGCACATAACAATTGTAAATATGAATTTTTTACCCCTCTTTTATATTTTTAGTCCTGAATGCCAGTAATTTTTTTAAAATCAAGATAAGAATTTTTGTAAAGAATAATAGCATCGATATTAATATTTTAGACACTAGACCGCCCAAAAGAAAAAGCAAAAAAAATTTTTAGACCTCCGGAGACAAGGCCTAATATATAGTTTGTAATATAGTATGATACAGTAAAACACGATAAGCTGATGGAGATATTAACCAATATTGAAATAAACACCTGTGGTCTAAGAATTATTAGCAATCTTTACTAAAATCAAATATCATCTATACGTACAGAGGTAGGAGAATCTGATGATATCAAAAGCAAACGTGGGATCTGACAGGGATGTATACTATCACCCTTGTTGTTTAACATATATTCTGAGGAAATCTGTCAAGCGGCAGTAGAAGATGTTGAAGCCGGAATTCAAATTAACGGAGAATGTATCAATAATATCAGATACGCAGGTGACACGGTGATATTTGCTGACAGTTGTAAAGCCCTCCAGGAATTAATGAATAGAATCATAAAAGTGACACAAAATCAGTCTAAATGGTCAACCAATAGAAAGAGTAAAAACAGAGACTAAGCTATTCAAATGTCATGATTTATTAGTACCCATAAAAATCAGGTTCTAACGATGTTATATCTTTCGTATACCGTTATACGTATTTGCGTCGTTGACTCTCAAAGACGCTACCTGCAAGAAAATTGAGGCTTTCGAAATGTGGCTTTACCGTCGAATCCTAAAGATATCAACTACGTTACTAGCCAGGACGTTTTATTAAGAATGCAAAAAAGGAAAAGAGTTGTAATCCATAATAAAAACAGCTAGAATTGAATACCTCGGTCACATTAGAAGGAACAGCGAAATATATGGGTTGCTGCAATTAATTTTTTAAACAATAATTGTAAGATCTTTATAGCGTACCACCTTGTTTGATTTTTTCATGTCAGTGTATTTATACGTTAAAATCGGACCAATAACAACGAAAATATGTATATATATATATATATATATATATATTATCCCTCTCCTTCCTTATGATATATTATACGTCATGATCTGACTAACTATTTTACCCCCACCATAAAAAGAGCCAAAAATGACCAGAATGAACCTTAGCGATTCCTTATGAAGTTTTATATGGAAAAATAGCTAGAACTTTCCTAGCTCCTTTACTTCTTCTTCTTCTTAAAGTGCTGTCTCCCTACGAAGGTTGGCAATCATAATGGGTATTTTTATTTTAGAACTTGCTGCTCCAAACAAATCAATCGATTTGCATTGATACCAATCACGTAGATTCTTTAATCATGAGTTCTGCCGTCGGCCAATAGATCTTTTTCCTTGAATCTTTCCCTGTATTATGAGTCTCAAAATTTCATATTTTGGTCCCCTCATCACGTGGGCTAGATATTCCAGTTTTCTTTTTTGTATAGTGGTGATTAGTTCTGTTTCTTTACCAACCCTTTCCAGTACTTATTTAGCGTAAATTCTTTTTAAATTACATTTTTTTAAAGTTGAAGTCTCAGCTCCATATAATAATATTGGAAATATATAACAGCGAATGGTACGTAGTCTGATCTCCAAATTTAGACTTTTGCTCGTTAAGAGTGGCTCCATTCGTATAAATGCTGATCTGGCAATCTCTATTTGCCTGTTTATTTCTACAGTATGATAATTGGTTTCATTGGTCAAAGTTCCCAAGTACTGATATTTTTCTATTGGTTCTATTACGTTACCATTGATTGTCAATAGGTGATGTATATTTTGTGGTCTTTTTGTAATTAGCATGTACTTCGTTTTTTAGCGTTTATAGTATTTTATAGTATTTATAGTAGTTTATAGTCCCATCTCAGCACTTTTCATACTCAAGCTTTTGATAAGATGGAAGCTTCCTTTACTTGGAAGAACTTAATGGCACAACAGAAAAAGTGGGATTGAAAATTATTGAAAGCAAGACCAGAAAGATAACCAACATCAACTTAGTACCCAGTACCTTCAAGAACGGTCAAAAAGAAATTGTATTAACTCACTAACTTTTTAACTCATTAATTTTTATCACTCATAAGATAATCAGATATGTGAGTTACAAAAATAATATCCTTGAGCTTAACTGCCTATGGCAAAATAAGATACATTTTTAAATTGTAAATGTCTATCAGGATCATCGCAAAAGGACGTTTAACCAGTTGTCTTGCCAGACGTTATGTACGGAGCCAAAGCCAATGCCAGAATACCAATGCCTGGTATACAAGACTGAGAGACAGAGTAAAAAACGAAGAGATACGCAGAAAGTCAAAGGTGGATGACATTCTGGAATGAATTACAATAATTAAATGAATATGGTGGGGCATGTAGCAGGATTCTAGGATGAAAGATGACAAGGAAGAGGCCAAGGAGTAATAAGTGAAGCCAATGCAGACCTCTTAACCACTGCTCAAGTGACATTATGACAATTACAACGAATTTGGTTTTAATAGAACAATATAGACCTAAATGGAAAAACTGTGGACGCAAACAGAGGTTTTATGATGCTGAATGAAATTTCTACACAGAAAAACTGGACTTAAAAATTATATTGTTGTTAAATTGCCTACACCATATCAGTTTTAGTAAACTATTGTGGTAAAATTAGTAAAATAAATAGAAATTTTAATAGATAATACGTCTTTTAATATAATCTCTAGAACACATACTTTAGTATTTATCAAGATATCAATATTTTGATAAAAAATTTCTGTTTAGTTATAATAAATATATTATTTGATCATTAAGATACCTATATTGTGTGCACCATGAATTATATAAATATCCTAATACTGGCATCTATCTCTACGGTTTCTGCAAATAACAATTGCACAATTAGAGAATTTTCCCAAGTAACAAAAATCATCAAAGAATGCTCTAATATAGTTATTGAAGATCTGGTTGTTCCAGCATACTCAACTTTATTATTAAATTTGCAAAATGGATCGACGTTGACTTTTACTGGAAACATAGTATTTGAAGTAGGATATTGGGAAGGGCCTCTTTTAGAAATCTCTGGAGATGGAGTTCAGGTTCAGGGTACCGCAGGTGAGAATTTTATTGTTGTAAATATTATTTTAGTTTCTTTACGTGTACTAATTAAATGAATTTATTTCTAAAAGAGAAATACAGTCAGGTGCAAAAAAATCGATGCATGGATATTATTTGCTTAAAAAAGAGAACGTTTGAAGATATTAGTTTTAAATCAGGTATATATGTAAAAGTATCTGTTAGATTAAAATAATTTTTACAGATTATACAAAAAAATCATTTATTTATAGACATACGCAAAAACTCAAAAATACAAGAATATTCAAAACTTTCTGAAATTAAGAAAAACATTGTTAATAAATCAATATCCAGTGTTTTCTCTTAAGCCCTTATAACAGCATGTACACGTTTAGGCATTGAGGTAATTAACCTCTGGATATCAAATTGATTTAATTGGTCCCATATTTCTTGAAGAGCCGCTGTAAGTTCAGCTAAGTTGATTGGACGGGGTACTCGTGCTCGAAGACGTCTTCTAGATGTTCTATGGGATTGAGACTTGGACTTCAAGCTGGCCAGTACATACAGACAATTCCCAATTCCTCTATATATTGGATGACGATTCTAACACGGTGACGACGCGCATCCATAAAAATAAAACTAGGTCCAATGAAAGCAGCAAAAGGTACCACATACAGATCTAAAATACTTGTTATGTATTTTGCAGCAGTCATAGAACCTTTGTCTACAATAACTAAATCAGTATGGGCTTCTGAACAACTGATCCCAGCCCAAACCATAACGGAGCCCCCCCGATAACTTATTCTATCCGCAATATTACATTGAAACTATCGCTCTCCGTGTCTTCCCCAAACCCCTTCTCAGCCGTCTGGCGACCTTAGACAAAATCTGGACTCATCTGAGAACAATACATTGCTTCAATCTGCATCACTCCAGTTTTCATGTTCTCTTGCAAACGCAAGGCGAGCTCTGCGATGTTCTATGAATAGTATTGGAGATAGGGCTGGCCTACCAGCCTAAGATTACCTTCTACAAGTCGTCGACGAACTGTTCATCTGCTTATATCCACATTTCTCACTTCGCTCAGACGATTTGCCAGTTTAACTAAAGTTAAATGCCGATTTCTCAAACATGATGAGACCAGAAATCGATCATCTCTTTCGGATGTTACTCTTCTACGACCTGATCCTGGTCTGCTTGTGAAGTTACCGGTGTCGATAAAATGCCGAACTGCTCTTTGAACCGAAGATCGACTAACACCCAACATTTCAGCTGCATAATATTGACTACGACCATCTTGAACGTTGAAAGTCACCGCCCTTGCAGCATCTGTCGGAGTTAGGGACATTTAGGAAGGATAATTAAATAAAAATATAACAATTTTGAGAATAAAATAACTACACTAGTATGGTTGTTGAATTAAAAACAACATTCAATAAATATCTACTTGCTTGAGACCCTTTTTGACAAAAACCTGGAATACCAATTTGTTTTAAGAAATATAAAAAGCAATATTAAAAATATTATTTTATTTAATTACTATTAAACTGGGAATAAGCCACAATTAAAGATAAAAATACGTTTATTGACGTTTCAATTTCCACTTCGGAAATCGTTCTCAAAATACAAACAGTAAATTATTTTATTTCTCGTATATGTACCCTCGTATACGAGGGTACACCTAAATTTACATACGTAATTTAATGTCTCTAAAATTATACAACTTAACTTCAAATAAATAAGAAATAAGGAATGGATCGATTTTTTTGCACCTGAGTGTAGTTTTATGTTAAAGTAGGTAACTGTATTATACAGGGTATTTCGAAAAAGGTACCACTGTCTCTAGGGTAGATAAAAAACTGAAAAATAATTGGGATCTGTTAAGTAAAAAATTTTGTAACGTCATCCGTTTTAAAGGTAAAGTGCTTCAAAGAAAAAATATATGACACATTTTTTACCGATTTTGTCGAAACCACTGGCAAGATTGTAATGGAATTTTACACGAATGTATTTTAAAAGACAAAACAAATGAAGACAAAAGTATTAAATGCAGCAACAAAGACCATCGGTAAAAAGGTAAAGAAGCAAAGGGCAGAATGGTTCAACGAAGAGTGTAGACGGGCCATACACGAACGAAATGAAGCTCACAAGAAATATATGGAAAGGCGAACCAAAGAAAGAAGAACATTTTTCGAGGAGCTACGACGCAGGGCGGATAAAATATGTCGAGGAGAAAAAAGAAAATGGGAAAATAATAAGATACAGAAAATGGAACAAAACCTCCAAAGCAACGATCTAAGGGAGGCATATAAATATCTTCGACAACTAAGAGAAGGATACAAACCCCGAACAAGTCTGTGCAGAAACCAAACAGATAAGATAATTAGTGAACCAACGCAAATAAAATCAGTTTGGAAAAGCCATTTCCAAGCTCTGCTAGGAGCACAAGGAAGCTCACGATCTTCGGATACGCGGCACATCGAGGAAGGAGACGAAGAAATAAGCCCCCGACTCTTAAAGAAGTCAAACAAGCAATACAGGCGCAAAGAAACAACAAAGCGCCGGGATTTGACGATGTCCCTTCCGAACTGTATAAATTAGGTGGCGAACATCTAACAACGCAGGTGCACGCGCTCATATCTAAGGTATGGAGGGAAGAAAAAATTCCTAGCGATTGGAAAAATGGGATTATCTGCCCAATCTACAAAAAAGGGGACAAACTTAAATGCGAAAATTACCGCGGCATAACCCTCCTATGTTCGGCCTACAAAATTTTTACATCCATCCTGAATAGGCGACTTCAACCATTATGTGAAAATATTATCGGCGAATACCAGACCGGTTTTCGACAAGGCAGGTCGACTATAGATCAGCTTTTTACAGTAAAGCAAATCCTTAATAAAGCTTGGGAATACGATATTGATGTTCACAATATATTTGTCGACTTCAAACAGGCTTAAGACTCCATAAATAGAAGCCGGTTATATAACATCATGGAAAGCTTCAATATTCCCTCGAAATATATCCGACTAGTAAAAGCAACGATGGACTCCACAATAGCAACTGTACGCATACAGTACGAATTAACTGACAGCTTCGAAATAGTTCAAGGGCTGAAACAAGGTGATGGACTAGCTCCAACACTGTTCAATCTGGCCCTTGAATATGTCATCAGAAAGCTGAATGTCGGAAGAGCCAATCTCCTAACAAACAAATCTGTCCAGCTCGCCGCATATGCGGATGACATTAACCTCATGTCCCGCAGAGTGGATGATGCAGCAGAAACATATTCGCAGCTGAAAAAAACGGCCAAGGAGATTGGACTTGAAATAAATACACAGAAGACAAAAATACTAACACAGACGCGGACAAAGCGAACAAGAAATCAAATCAAAGTAGAGGATGACATTGAAACAGTGAAGAGTTTTACTTATCTGGGAGTCGAAATGAATACGGAGGGAACAGAAGAGGCCGAAATTCAGAAGAGAATAATGAAGGGAAATAAAGCCTATTTCTCCCTGATTAACATATTCCGCTCCAAGACGGTACATCGAAAATCAAAACTTAAGGTCTATAAAACTATCATCAGACCGATAGTATGCTATGGATGCGAGACATGGGTTTTGACAGAAAGCACTAAACGAAGATTAGAGGTTTTCGAGAGAAAAATCCTAAGGAAGATCTTTGGACCCATCACTCAAAATGGGATGTGGAGATCTAGATATAACCATGAACTCTACCAACTGTTCAAAGAAGCACCTATTGCAGAGTTCGCTAGAGTACAAAGGCTTCGATGGGCTGATCATGTGGTACGGATGGATGCCGACAGATTGCCGAGAAAGGCCTTGGATGGTAAAATGCAGGGCAGAAGACCAAAGGGAAGACCACGTAATAGATGGGAGAACGAAGTCACAGCAGATGCGCACAATTTACTGAACGTCAGGGCTTGGAGACGAGTGGCGCGGGATCGCCTTTGTTGGAGGCAGAAGTTACAGGAGGCCAAGGCTCAATTTGGGCTGTAGCGCCATTGGAAGAAGAAGAAGAAGTATTTTAAAAGCTGCTACATCCGATGAATTGGTTTTTATATCTGACTCTTAAAGAGGGCGCTAGTTACAAGGTTGATACCAAGTATTATTTAAGATAATTTTTTAAGAGTATAATTATTCATCAAAATTCCCAGTGTACTTAAACATCATACAATTTTACACAAAAAGGTACTCTTGGTAAAACTCGATAAAGTGTTTTGGGATTATTTTGATTTAAAAATTATTAATTAATAACTCATGCTGGTATTGTAATGATAGCATTCTAATAGGTATGTCTCGATTTTATCTAAGTTTGCCATGGGAAACTGACATTTATTGATTGTTTTGACAAGAAGTCAACAATAATTAAATTTTTAAAACCTTGTTATTTGTAAAATTAAGTATTGTTAATTAAAATGTAAGCAAATGTTAAACACACTGACATAATATTAACCTGAGGAGAGTATTTAGTAAACTCTAGTGCAGCTTTTACGCGTTATGCAGAAAAGTTTCCTAGAAGAAACTTACCAAGTAAAAAAAAACGTTTAAAGCCATTGAACAACGTTGTTGAGAAACTGGGAATACGAGACCAAATAAAAAAAAATCCGGTAGACAAAGAACAACAAAAACAATTACTAAAAAAATATTACTTTAAATTCACTTGATTAAGATCCAACAGTTAGCGTAAGGAATGTGGCAAGACAGATAAACAAATTTGTTTTGTTTAAGTACTTGGCGAATACTTAAAGAGCAATAGCGACATTCTTATCATTTAAAGACAAGTGCAAAACTATTGCCAGACGATCTATCGGTTAGGATGGATTTTTCTGAAAGATTGCAAGCATGGACAGTCCTCAATCCATTTTTTTTAAATGCATTCTTTTTACGGACAAGGCCACTTTTACGCAACAAGATATGTTTAACTCTCATAATGTATACACTTTAATGAAATATACAAGGCAGAAGAAATATCAGTAGAGTGGCTCAAATCGGAGTTCGTACCATTGCCCAAAAAAGCAGGAGCAAAAGTTTGTGAAGATTATAGGACCAAAAGCCTAATGAGCCATCTGCTGAAGCTGTTTTTAAAAGTCATTCACAAAAGAATTTACTGGAAATGCAAGGAACAAATTGCGCCGTATCAGTTTGGATTTGTGAACCCCGTTGGTACGAGGAAGGCTTTATTTTGCGTGCAGGTATTATTCCAGAAATGTAGAGATATCAGTTGTAATGTTTTTGCATGCCTGATTGACTACAAGAAGGCATTCGATAGAGTCAGGCATGAACAAATGATGGAAGTGCTGAAGAGGACAGGGATTGAGGGAAGAGACTTAAAAATTATAGCTAATCTGTATTATATTTTCGGACCTTACCATGAAATCGCCACAAACCAGTATAAGATCAGAAGCAATATCGAATTAAAAGCACTCTACAACGACGCCGATATTGTCCAAGAAATTAAATCACAGCGACTAAGATGGTCAGACCACGTGCACAGACTACATAACGAAAGACTTGTGAAACTGGTATAGGAGGAGATTCCCACAGGCAAAAGACCACTCGGACGTCCCAGAATGCGATGGAGAGATAACATCCAAGCAGATCTCCGGAAAATGAACATTCCATTTGACCCTAGGTTGATGGAAGACCGAACAAATTGGAAAAAAGTTGTACAGTCAGTCAAAACCCACCCAGGGTTGTAGCGCTACGTGATGATGATGAATTTGTATTGGAATCAATGAGCGATACTCCGAATAGATGGTAAATATAGAGATCAGGTGAAAATCTTAAGGGGAGTGAGACGGGGGTGCATAATTTTACCACTGATATTCAATCTGTACTCGGAGCACATTTTTGAAGAGGCCCCAAAAGATATTGATGAAGGCATATCAATAAATGGAGTCAAGCTTAATAACCTGCGGTATGCAGATGATACAATAGTGTTTTCCAATACCACATAAAGGCTGCGAAACTTACTGAACAGAATAACGGAAACAAGTAGAACATATGGACTGGATATAAACACAAGTGAAACACAATGTGAACCAAATGAGAATTGAATGTATCTCACAATAAAATTACTTGGGAACTATAATCAATGAGTCGTGGGATAATACCCAAGAGATAAAATGTCGCATCGGAAAGGCCAAAAGTGCATTCTTGACTATGAGCTCTGTGTTCAAGAGCTATGACCTCACCCTGAAAACAAAAATAAGGCTTCTTAAATGTTACGTGTACTCAGTGCTTCTGTATGGAGTAGAAACGTGGACATTGAAGACGAAAACTCTATCAAAAATTCAAGCTTTTGAGCTATGGTTATACAGAAGAATTCCTGAACATACCATGGACAGACAAAGTCACCAATGAACAAGTACTGCGGAAGATGAACACAACCGCGGATTTGGTCAACATCGTAAAGAGCCTCATGAGCAACATGTAAGGCGCATCATGATATGATATCTCTTACGGTTGGTGCTCCAAGTCATTGTGGATAGTTGCAATGCTCACATATCATCGATAGCTATCATACGCAGTGTTTTTGGTTAGAAGGTCTGTAAAATTTTTATGTTTGAAGGCTTGCTACAGCCCGAGAGTTCTACGCCGTAAGTCAATATTTGTTTTAGTATGACTTTTTCTGTATGTTTTGTTCTCCAATGACAGTTGTAACTTTCTGCCCAGTAACCGATTCATTTGTTTTAATTTTATATTGAGCTGAGATTTTTTGGCTTAAGTGTGTCGCTTTAAGGTGAGATTTCAGTCCAAAAGCAACCCAAGATATTTCACAACGTCTCTAGCAGGAATGGGGCCATTGTTTAGACTAATTTGTGGACAAGTACGTATTCTTGTTGTAAATGTGATTTGGGCTGATTTTTCGTTATTGACTTTAATTTTCTATTTTGTCAACTAATTTTCTAATGTATGCAAGTGATTTTGCAGTTTTTCAAATGCTATATCTAGGTCTTTCTTTGAAACTAAAACGGCTGTATCATCGGCAAAAGTCGCCACTGTGACGTCATATATAGTAGGTATGTCAGCAGTAAAGATTAGGTACAGGAAGGGACCAAGGACACTTCTCTCAGTAACTCCGGATTAAATTAAGTGATAGGTTGAAAAATCATTGATTTTTACTTGGAACGAACGTTCGTTAATATAGCACTTTGGGATAAGGTACATATCGCTAAGCAGTAAAGATTTTAATTTATATAGCCAACCGTTATGTCAGACTTTATCAAAAGTCTGCTCTGAATATCATGAAATAGTTAGGCACACATAGTTTTTTGTGTATATACTTACAGTACTATGGCAATGTTGGATTGTTGAATATTAAAAAAAAAGTCTATGCTGAAGAGCTAAATTTAGGTCCAGAATTGAAAAATAGAATTCAACGTCACTATAATGACATCATAGCTGATCCACAATCGTTTGGAAGATTAAAATATTCTTTAGACAAAAGGATAGACTTGTGTTTTTGTGAAAAAGGAGGGCATCTCAAACACTAACTTTAATTGAAGTTTATTTTATGCTCTTTGTCTTTTAATTCTAATTTTCTCCACGAGATTTTTTACTTTATCATTATTTTATATCAGCATCGATTACTACCTTAAAATTTTAAGAATTTTTATCAAAATATTGAGAAAACGGTGCACAGTATCTAGTTTTATCAAGATCACCTTTTTGATGTAAAATTGTATGATGTTTAAGTTCACTTACAATTTTGACTAACAATTCTACCCTTAAAATTCTGCTTGTTCATTGGTGGATTAATAATAATTAATAATTAATATTTGTACGTTACATTTTGTTTTAATGTCTTCGCTTTTCTTTCGATCTCTCAGCGTATTTCCTGTAATTCTTCTTAGTATTCTCATCTCTGCCGTTTTCAGTAGCTTTTGCGTTGTGTCTGTGTCGGGTTTTGTTTTTGAGGCATATGTCATTATTGGTCTTACACAGGCTTTATAAATTAATAACTTCATCTCAGTGTTCATGTGAGTGTTTCGCCATTTAGTGTTATTAAGGCACCCTGCCAGTGTATTTACTTTTTGTACTTGATCTCTCACTTCGTTATCTAGGTCTCCATAGCTATTTTACGTCTGGTTGGTTTTTTGCTGACTAATATTATTTTAGTTTTTTGAAATAAGATCACCGTATTAAATTCTTTTGCTCTTATGTTAAATCTGTGGACCAGTCTTTGCAGACTATCTTCATCTTGGGATATCAATATTGCGTTGTCTGCTTAACTGAGTCTGAGTTTTTGTATTTCTTTGTTTTACATTCGGTATCCTATTCTTTGTTTACGCTTTTAATGATTTTGTCCATGATTAAATTGAAGAGCATGGGGCTCAATGAATCTTCGTCTTATTTCGCTACCTATTTCTATAGTTTCTGTAAGTTGTCTATCTATTCTGACAATTGTGTTGTTTTGGTAGATGTTTTCGATAGTTCGTATAATATTTCTTTATTATACAGAAGATTGATTACATTTTTGAGTCTTAATTTGCCAAAAACGTTCCTTAGGTCAATCAGACACAGAAATACTTATTTAACAAGTAATAATATTTTACAAGTTTAAACCTCTGTAGTTTTATGGCTTTTTTTGTCTTCTTTTTTGAATAGTAGAATTAGTTATCTCGCTCTTCATTTTCCATGTTAAAAAAGTTATGTTGTGTAATAGTTGGTACAAACCGTGTTACGAGCGCCCTCTATGAGGGTCAGATATAAAAACAAATTCATGAAATGTATCAGCGTCCAAATCATATTCGTATAAAATTTCATTATAATGTTGTCAGTAGTTATGGCAAAATCGTTTTTTTTTTCTTCAACGCCCATAATCTTGAAAACAAATGGAATTACAAAAATTTTTTACTTAGCAGACCCCAATTATTTTTTAGTTTTTTACCGATCCTAGAGACCGTGTTACTTTTGTTTGAAACACGTTGTGGTGATGTGGATTTGACAGGATATACCTAGAATGATTTTAGGACATGTAATAAACGCGCAAGGAGAGAAATATTGGGATGGACAAGGCGGTTCTGGTGGTGTGACCAAACCAAGATTTGTAGTAATATCTACCACAGGAGGATCTGTTTTAAAGGATATTTATCTCCTGAACTGCGTATACTTTTGTGTAGGAATTAAGGCTTCAGATCTTATACTTTCTGGGTGGAACATTGATGTGGTTGCTGGAAATACGGTTAGTACATTTTTTTAATGTTATTTCTTAGCTTTTACTTTTATATTTACTTTCAAACCAATTTTTCTCAAAAAGAAAGGTATTAATATCATGCTATAAACATTTTTTTTACACTTCCCTCATAAAATAACCTTACACAATACTTTTAAAGATTTCTGACACTCCATTCGTAAATGATAGTGGTATATATGCTAATTTAAATAGACACAGCTTCTCGCTGAAGTGAAGTATCTCAAAGAGTATACCAAGGTATGGTATTCCACAGTACGTGACTCCCAAAAACGGAATATGCACTGGTATGATAATGACAAAGAGATAACACCTTTTAGTTAGAAGAAGAGGTAAATGATAAATCGAGAACATTGCAGCAGGAAGTTAATTCCGCAATAACACAGTTAAAGGGTGGCAAAGCGACAGGTCCGGATACAAGCAGAACTACTCAAACTAAGGGAACACGAACCTACTGTATATTTATAAACACTCCAATGCAAAACTTTTTCTTTTCGAGAATTGTTTTAATGATATTTACTATTCTGTGGCATTGTGAGATGGTTAAGCTTTGACCTCTAAATCCGAATTGGCGTTGTATAATTTCGTTTATGAGAAAAACTTGCTCGATTTTATGTAATAGTAGCCTTTCTAATACTTTTGACATTATTGAGAGTAGGCTTATAGGGCGATATGAATTTTTTGGCGCGGGCTCACTAAGTTTCAGAATCATCGTAACTTAAACAAATTTATATCGTATTGGAAAATATTGAAGACGTAGTATGCTGTTGTCGTGTCCGGTCTAGCTTTCGTGGAGGAGGAGCTCTGAACTGAGTAGTGGCTCTTCTGTACATCACGGAAGACAGACTGGGCGGGGGATGTCCTCAACCTCGACACGGCACGTACCATATGGCTGATAGGGAAAGTTCCTGCTGATATGCAGGACAGGTCCGAATAAGGTATTGCCAAATAAGTACCCGCGAATCAACTGAGGATATGACATTAGGCAGCAGTAATCTCATTACTGGATTAAGGCTGTGGGAAGTAAAAATCCTGTAGGTTTATTCCAGATACTCACAGGCGTCACTCACATGATGAGTTAAGCGGCTGTGATATGAGTGTAACGTATACTACTGATCATGGGCTGCGAAACTCAAGATCCGGCAGGGGAAGGAATACACAATCAAACCACACTGCTTCCCAGGTCGCTAGCCAGCGTAATCCCTGTGAGGAAAACATCACTAGACATAAGATGAAAATAAAGAATCCATACAAAGTGGCTACATGGAATGTAACAACCTTATATGAAGCCGGTAAGTTGAGAAATCTACTCTCTGAAATGGACAGATTAAACATTACTATCATGGGGGCGAGTGAAACAAGATGGCCAAACAAAGGGAATTTCAGTGCAAATGTTTACGTCGTTTATTTTTCTGGAAATCAAGACCATATGCAACGAAATGGAGTAGCAATAATTATCAAGCAGCATATTAATCAAACAGCATATTAATAAGTATGTCACTAACTTCATCCCAATATCAGACAGAGTAATTTTAATACAGCTGAATGCTAAACCTGTAAATATAAATATCATCCAAGTTTATGCAGAATATTGAAGGTGAAGATGAGCAGAATATTGAAGAATTCTCCCATTAAATAGAAGAAGTGCTAAAAATAACAAAGAAATACGAAGCAATAATAATTATGGGTGACTTTAACGCTAAAGTTGGACAGAAGATGACGCAGGGCATCAGCGGAAAGCTTGGCTTGGGAGAGAGAAATCAAAGAGGTGAACGGCTAATAGAATTCTGCCAAGAAAATGACTTCGCCGTTACAAATACCTGGTTTCAACTTCCAGAAAGGCGTCTTTATACGTGGAAATCCCCTCAAGATGGACATCAAGGCAGAATAGTACGGAATCAAATAGACTACATCCTAATAAACCACCGATTTCGAAACAATATTAAAGATGTAAAAACTTAGCCCGGCGCTGACATAAACTTAAATCACAATTTACTCTGCTCCAAAATACAAATTAAATTGAAGAAATTAACAAAGCCAACTAAGCCTTGTAAGATATATCTCGACCCCCTGAAAAACCCTCAAACGCGCGAACACATATCACAGCAAATAAATAGTAAAATACACAGAATATCAAATATACCAAACGAAAACAGAACCATTAACGAATGCTGGTATGCCATTCAAAACTCGATTTTAGAGAACGTACAAGAGTCTTTGAAAACACCTATCATGTTGGCAAAAAATGAGTGGATGACAAAAGAAATTCTAGATCTGATGGAAGTTGGACGGCAACACAAAAATAGAAATATTATCGAATATCGTGAAATTAATAAACGCATAAAAAGAAAAATTAAGCAAGCCAAAGACTCCTGGCTTGAGAATTTATGTAAAGAAATAGAAGACCTCCAAAAAAAGCATGACAGCTTTAACCTGCATAAGAAACTTAAATATACTGCCGGAATTAGAAAACAGAAAAATGTTCACATACTTAAAGCGCGGACGGAAAAATTTGTGATCACGAACAACAGTGCAAAGAATGGGAGAGATACATCACTGACCTTTTTGACGATGCTTTTAGAGAAAATGGTCCAAGTACTGCCTGTGACAACCAGTTGGACAGAGGTCCCAATATACTGAATTCGGAAGTCGAAAAGGCAATACAGCAATCCAAAAATAATAAAGCACCTGGACCACATCAAAACCGTGCCGAACTACTTAAACTTTTGGATGAGGAAAGCATTGCCTGCTTAACCACTTTCTTCAACAAAATTTACAACGAAGGAAAAATACCAGATGATTGGTTAGAGTCACTGTTTATAACATTACCAAAGAAGAGCAGGCCCACCAAATGCAGCGATATTAGACTAATCAGTTTGATGAGTCACACACTGAAGATACTCTTACGAATTATACAAAACCGAGTATTCCTTCTATGCGAAAGTAAGATGGGTGATAAGCAATTTGGATTTAGAAACGGTCTAGGAACTAGAGAGGCACTATTCTGTATGCGCGTTCTATTACAAAAAAGTTGTGAATTCCGAAAGAATGTTTATGTTTGTTTCATCGACTTCGAGAAGGCGTTCGACAGAGTCCAACACAATACACTTTTCGACTGCCTACGGGCAGCAGGACTTGACCACTATGATATAAGACTGCTGAAATACTTATATTACAATCAAGTAGCCTCTATCCAAATTGGAGACAGTCCCACTGAAAAAATACCCATCAAATGTGGAGTACGACAGGGTTGTGTTTTGTCACCCACTCTTTTTAATCTGTACTCTGAAGAAATCTTTAGGTAGGCTTTGGATGACAGACAAGAGGGAGTAAGACTAGGTGGAGAAGTAATCAACAATATTAGATACGCTGACGATACAGCCATTCTTGCAGAAAGTTTACAAGATCTCCAAACATTACTACATCTAGTCAGTGAAGCAAGTTATCGGAGAGGCCTAAAAATCAACATTTCAAAGATAAAGTGGATGGCAGTTGGAAACATCTATATAGATCAAGGTCTGCTTTCTCTTAATGGAGAAGAGATAGAAAGGGTAAATAATTTCAAATACGTTGGCAGCTGGTTAAATGTAAATTGTAACTCTGATGAAGAGATAATATCCAGGATCGAAATATCACGTAAGGCTTTTATGACCTGGAAACCAGTTTTATGCAACAGAAACCTGTCAATGAATATTCGTAAGAAGGTCCTGAAATGTTATGTGTGGTTGATCCTATTGTATGGTTGTGAGACATGGATGTTAAAAACCACAATGTTAAACAAGTTAGAAGCATTCGAATTGTGGTGCTATAGACGAATCCTAAAGATATCATGGGTTTCGCACACTTCCAATGAAGATGTTCTTCAAATGATCAACTCAGAACGTCTGCTCATAAAAACCATAAAGAGGAGAAAAACAGAATACTTCGGCCATATAATTAGAGGACCTAAATACCATTTACTTCGCCTTATAATACAAGGAAAAGTGGAAGAAAAGAGATGTATTGGTCGAAAGAAACTTTCATGGCTGCGTAATATTAGACAATGGTGTGGTTCCACAGTAGAAGACTTATTTCGCGCAGCAGCCGACAGAGAAAGGTTTCAGGAAATTGTAAACATAATGACGGTCAACGTCTGAATACGGACACGGCACCCAAAGAAGAAGAAGACGTATGCTGTTGTATATTATTGTTAATAACACCACTGCTTTTCTCGGTAGCTTCTGAAGTAATTCTCCTGGTATAAAATCATAGCCAGGAGTTTTCTTAGGATTTAGCATATTTATTTTGTTGTCAAACCTCGGTCGCAGTAAATGTTGCCAAAGGAAGAGATAGTTGACATCTAGTTTCGACATTCTTATATCATCATCTTCGTTATTATTATCTGGTACTGCGAATACAGTTGCAAGATGAACAACTGCGAATACTGTTGCTTTTCTGTGTTTGTACGGGCCCAGGTCATATCTGTTTTTCATAAAGGTAAATCTGTTATTGTTGGTCGTTTAAACATTTTTGTAGCTCTATATATAGAGTGGTCTTTATGTGAGAGGTTCGAAATATAAAACTGGAAAGAGTCGTTTTTCTTCATGTAATGCTCTATTTAGTCTAATGACTTATCCTGTTAACGTAGGTTTTATTTAGTGGATTTACAGCAAAATCTACCTAACCTGGAATTTTGTTGGCATCCGTATTTTAGTATGTGGGTTCTCCCGTAGATAAGTATCTTAAGTTATTTTGTTGAATGATATTCATTAATGCTCAACGTTTAGTCGTGATTACTCTGGAACCACATGTGGTGTGTTTGGCATTCCAGTCTCCTGGTACTATGGTAATTTGGATCCAATAGTTTCTATGATATCATGATACTCTTCGCTTGAAATTGGATGTCTAGGTGGGCGGTAGTTTGATGATACACTGAGGTAGGTATTTGTTTCGATTTTAATGATTGCTGCTTGATTTTTTTCCATAATATAAAGTTGGACTGCATAGTGTTT